GAGAGAGAGAGAGAGAGAGAGAGAGAGAGAGAGAGAGAGAGAGATTTGTGAATGTGTTAGATTTCTAGTTATGGAACATTTCAACACAATTTTTCAGATGTTCCAGGAGACAAGAAACAGGTTGGTAAACAGGACGTCAGCTCACGACAATGAATTTGACACTGGGTTCATGAACTGTAAATTCCAAGCTCAGTTCAAACAAAATCTGTGGTTATTTTTCTTCAAGACGTTTAATGACTCTCTGGTACTGGCTAAACAGGGCAAAAGATCAAGGGGAAGACCCCGTGGAACCTGGAGATGAATCACAGAAAGTGATGTACAGAAAAGTGGGAAGACATGGAATAACATCAAGAGGCTAAACCAGGATGGAGAAAGGTGGAAAGTGTTTGTTCGTGGCCTCTACCCTGGTGCAGGATGAGAAAAGCAATAATGATGCTGGTACTGGCTAAATCCAGGAGTAAAGGTGCTGCCTCAGAAAAAGTCAAACTGCATTGAGAACGAGTTTTGAAGTTCTTAGAACAAACAAACAAGAATATCAAAAGGGCACAACAAAAAGAGAGATGATGACCCGCACAATACGTCTCCTTTCAACCCACCGACGCCCGTGGTTTAGCGGTTAGGCACTTCCCTGTCACATGCAGAGGACCTGAGTTTGGTTCCCTCCTGGGGAGAAATTTCACTGAGTACCTGTCTTTCTTCAAGGACGTTGTATCCCTCTCAGCCCGGGTTGGGCCTGGCAAGACTGGCTCGAAATGATCTGAATTGTGTCGATGGGGTAGTAAAACACTTACATTATCAACAACAACAACAACAACAACAACAACAACAACAACAACAACAACAATAGCAACAACAACAACAACATCAAGAAACTTTCAACCAACAAGAAACGAGCTTTAACGTGAACGTTTCCGTAATGTACGAACTGTTGTGACGAACCTCTGCACATGCATGCACAAACATTATTCAAATGTATATTCGCCTAGCCTTTCCTGTTTCTGCTTGCCATCTCCTGGTCTCAATCCGTGTCTATTTCACGCATCAATTGTTAATACATTTTATAGATATTAAAGCTATTCCTTCTTGCTTTTCCACATTTACGCTTTTTTATTGTGAAGTTGCTGTGAATAAATAGCAATTGAAAAGGTTGGTTTCTAAAGAAGAGAGCGAACTGCAACTATGCGTTAGGGATGATTGCATTTCTAAAAGCAAAATTTTACCGAGGCTGAGACGAATTCAAGAGTTGCACAGTGTGTGTCCGCTGTTCATTGTGTTCAGAAAGGTGTAATGCAAACTGCATTTGAAAAGTGCAGGGCGATGTCGTACCTTTTAAAATGTATTTTGGGGTGTGTACGTGTGTGTGTGTGTGTGTGTGTGTGTATGTGTGTGTGTATGTATGTGTGAGTGTATGTGTGTGTGTGTGTGTGTGTGTGCGT